TGCGGGCTCGGCCACGTCGTTTACCTGCGCCCTCCCTCCCACCTACGGTCTTCTTGACTCTGTCTTGACACCGGGTCCAGGTGGGAGAGAATGCGGTAGATTCTGCGAAAGTCTACACCCACTGTAAACTAAATCATCCGCAAGTCACCGTGCCTGCTTCGCTTTGCTGTGAAGCACGCGGTGGACATCATCGGATGCGACGGTCAAACTGTCAAGTTAGGACAATGCTCAAACGCAACAGTTCTAGCTGAACTCACATCTGCCCTTACTGAAACAGCCGGCATCTTCCGACCGTCGAAAATGTGTTCTGATCGGTGTTTATATGGAATCTGATCCTCCTTCGAAATGTGGACCGAGTTGTCAGGTCTGCTTACAACCTTCACTTCACGACTGTAAGGCCTCCATATCTGCAATACTGGGAATGTATTAAATAGCCATGAGAACGGATTTCTCAGATTGGCCTCAATTTATCTTCACTCACATAAACCAGTAGCTTTGCAGGTCAAGCCACGGGATAACGGAATTCAGTATAGAGACTATCTCAACGTTAAGACTTCGTTCACTGAGTGCCAGGCGGGTACATACCCACAAGCGTATAACAACTTTCCCAGCTATATTGACATTGGGAGGCTCCAAAGTGGGGTTTAGGCACAAATAATAGGTAACCGTAATGTGTGCTCATTTGACTGGGCATGTCAGTTCAGTTACTGGATGCACGGGAACCTCATGAAGCCGAGTAATCAGGAGGAATATGGTGATTGAAGTCTTGTGTGAGTACACGAACGAATACGTCCACACAGTGCATGAATGTGTAGATTCAGTGCGGTTGGAGAAGGCGTGCGTGACGGAGCTAATAGGTACTGCTTCTCCAGTTGTGCTGCGAAGCATTTGTAGGTCTCAGATCGTAGTGGGGCAAACTCAGAACTCAGTCCGCAAGATCTGATTGTCGTGCCCGCGATGCTGTGCAAACGAATCTCTAGGATGGCTGTCAGGTGTTAGAGTGGATCTCCAGCGTGTCCTTAAATCGTTGTTTTCGCCCACCTTCTTTGTGAGAACTCGCAGAGTTGTCATTATAGAAGAATTCGGTCCAGTATGTCCTTCGCCGCCGTCCTCAAGACGTGACTGCCCCATCACAACTGAATCTGCTGCAACACGGCATGAGTGCTCAGCATACCAGTTGATTCAAGGTCCTGAGTTTGCAGAGCCGGTGCTGCGAATTCATGTATGATATCATTGCGAAACGGCCTCTTTTTCACGCTTGACTTTGGCGATTATTCAGGTCTCAACGCCATAAGGATGCTTCTCATGATTGCAGTCAGTTATGTCGTGAGTCTTGTGTGTGGAGGAGGGGAATGGCACCACTCTTCTAGATGGATTGTTTCAGACCGCTGGAGGTCCAGCTAGCTTTAACGATTAGCACTGCAATCGTGTTGCCGATGTTGACGGTCCGTGGTGTTGTGATACCCGGATGCGATAATTGGTTTATCACACCAACCATCTCGTTTATCCCGACACTTGGAGCGGCTACCGAGATGTGGCCGCCGCCGCCGCGGCAAGCAAAATGTCGTGAAGCCGAAGGCGGGAGATTAATGTCAGGTATGCGTCGATTGAAGCAACCACAGTGCGCATTAAGGTCCTGACCTGTCACCAACTTGGGCAAAAATGTACCCCGAACTTGCTGTATTGCAACTTCTGTCGACGCTTGCATGCACTAGACATGGGAACGCCCGAGGTGAGACCACATTTCGACAGACACGCTCAGGTCAGTCTTTTCCGATGCGAATCAGTTAAACCGAATTGCAGATCCAATTTGCAATTATTCTACGACAGTCCGCCTATAATTTTGTAAATTTTATCAGCTTCTGAATGAAGTTCTTTTGCTGGTCGACTGTTTTGTTGCCCTAAGTCATAGGTGAAGTAGAGTAGATTTAACAGCTTGGCTCAAAATTTCTAGACTCGTTCGATAACTCCGACGAGGGTAGCCAAATTTGACTATTTTACATCGATAATCGGTGAATACTTTTTGCAGTATTTAAAGACAACATCACTAGATAACTAACGAATCACCACACTGGCTTGGATAATTTAATTTAATTCTGTCACCGTGGGGTTGCGAGATTCCCTTTAGGACTAGATGCTACTATAGTTCGAGAGTCGATTCACTTGTGGCCGAGCCAATCAGATTGAGAAATAGAACGGAGCATGAGGAAACTCAAATTAGGTCCTGTCTTCAACTGATAGAACACACCGATTGCCCCAGTGAGCGTGAAATTGTGAACCTCAATCATTCCGAAATAAGAAACCTCCACTGATAGTGTTAGCAGTAAGTTCAAAAGTCTGAAATAATATTGTTAACAGAGAATTTGAATGGTCCTTGCATACGCGAACTGATGCCAATGTCACTGGTTTCATTTGCCTCTGAAACAGCCTTGATTTTAAAGGAACATAATTCTTATTCATGTCTCAGGAGCAAACGATATGCTTGCTTAATGTTTCTGAATATTTCTACTTTTTTCCGACCCACCAAACAATGAATAAAATATTTTATGATGATGCCTTTTCTTTACTTGGGATAGTAGTTAGCGGAGACGGCCTGCATAGGACAGACGTTGAATTGCTTCCCATCAATTCCATGGCTAGTCTGTGTGACTGGTCGACCATCTGGATAGGTGTCCATCAGCCGTGAAAGACATGTTACATAACAGATTATACTGAAATACTGAATGAATGCATCTTCGGGAAGGAAATGTAATGGATACTTAATTTAATTCTGTTTGGGACCGACGTTGATGGAGTTGGTGAATATTCTTGGGATCAAAGGCGTGTGGTTAGTCAGATCCAGTAACTGCACTCTAATTGAGTTCAGAGTTCAGAAATGGAGAGAGACAATCATAAGTAAATCATAGTTGGCGCGTCAGATTTATGATGATGAGGAATGCGCCGAAATGCCGTAGGGACGGCTGACCCAGTGTCGACCCCTCTGTCTCTTTCTCTCCTCCCCCTCCCATGCAGCAGTCGATTGTTTGAGTCCGTCAACCAGCTGGTGATGAGATTGAGCGCATCAGCTGACAGGTGGCTGGACAGCCTGCCCGCTTGTGCCACACACGACCTGATCACTTCACCTACCAGGATATATCCAAAAAATGCTTCCCACCTACATGATGTTTGTTCCTTTCGACATATGACGTTGCATTCTCCATACCTTCGACGATGAAGCACATGAGATGTTTGCTGCCTGAAAGGGGATCACCAGCTTGATGTCGAAAAGAGGTATGATTGTTGCAGGGTGTAGCGCGTGGTGAGAATGGGCTTCATATGTGGCCTAGGGGTGTGTTTGGGCAGATAGGGCGATGCGTGATGATGTGGTTTGCAGTGCAGTTTTATTCAGAATTTTCAGGATGGGGCATATGGCTGAATATCTCCATAATTTGGGCGAATGTTCTCGGACAGGTGAGGAGTGTGTGTGCATGTCGGGGCTGCAGACACCTGTTGGCCAGTCTCAGGGCGGTGGATTTGCATGTAGCCGACCAGGCCAATGTGTGATGTGAATATGCGATCACAGTGGTGGCTTGTTGAGATCAGGGCACCTTGATGAGGGTATGTGCAGTAATAGTAAGATTTTAGGATAGTAGTTGCGGTAGCGGTGGTGCTTTGTGAGATGAGGGACGGGTAGCTCGTGCTGACATTGTAATGCGTCCGCAGATGTCTAAAAAGGACTATCCGCACGGTGTGGGTCCGGTGACAATGTAGTCAAGAATGCAGGGGTTGGGTGCTTGCGTCGCTCATCCAAAGTACTTGAGTCTTGCGGGTCTGTCTTTGCTTTAGATGCGATTTTTCTCGTGGCTTTGAAGATGGCTGCTCCAGTCTTTGCGTCAACGCCATGCATGCCGCACTTGAGCGAGATTCTCCCAGGTCTCGGGAAGTCTTCCATGTGTCCTTGTGGCGACGCTTTATCTGTCCTATCTGCAAGCACCAGAGGCTACGTCGCTGTAGAATAGTTGCTACGGCGGGCGCCCTTAATTAATCTCTACAACATAGCTTCTCTATCACAATTGTATCTGCGCCGGCATGCCGTGGATACCGAGGGCGCTGGTGTTTACCAGAGTCTCCTTTTCTGGGATGCCTCGGCCATTCCAAACTGAGTTCTACAGTAAACCGAAGGCCTGGCTGTCCTTGGAGATCCAACTTGAGATTTCGTCGCAGATTTTGGTGCTTCTTGAAACTGTACTCCCGGGATACGCAAAGTTCACCCTTACCGTGCTGTGAGCTACACTGACATTGATACGGAGCGCGATGCGGTCAACATTCGACGCCCGTAGGCGTATCATCACTGTCTTTTCCGTGCTGACGGTCGGTCCAAAGTTGGAGCAGTCGGAATTGAAAAGGTCCTGCATAGATGAAATGTTTAGTGCGCAGTCAGCCGCGAAAAATTGGCCGTGGACGCCGGCGTTGGATACCCTCGAAGATGTTTTTAGGCAGCGGGTTTCGAACAAGTTTTCGTGTGTTTTACAGTCGGTGTCTATCCCTGACCACTCTTCTTCTCGGGCGTCCACCAGCATGGCGGAGCCAGTACGCAGCCCTGCTCCACCCCCTTGGCTGTGAAAAATTCATTAGAGACGGCTCCGTTGTCTGTTTTATGAGCCATCATCCGTTTATTAAGTTGTCTTACCATTTGATTGAATTACCCAGGACACCCGAATTTCAGCATGATCCTCCAGATTACATCGGGATCTACCACACGGAGAACCTTCGCCAGATCCCCAAAGGTAGCACGACGGCAACTGCTGCTTAGTCACCCCAACATAATTAACTCCCAGTTTCTCAGTGGTGAGGTTCAACATGATGTTGTGCACCATATCCGCACCTCAGGTCCTCCCGTGTTTGCTCGACCGAGACGACTAGCACCGGAGCATTTTCAGGCCGCGAAGGCGGAGTTTGAACACATGCTGCAACTGGGAATAATTTGACCGTCCGAGAGCCCTTGGGCGTCCCCACTGCACATGGTGCCCAAGGCAACATCAGGCGACTATCGAGCCCTCATCAGCGCAACCATTCCTGATCGGTACCCCGTGCCTCATCTTCAGGACTTTGCTGGAGCCCTTTTCGGCAAAGCGGTTTTCTCGAAGATTGATCTGGTGCGTGCTTTTCATCCGATTCCAGTCGCCCCTGAGGACATCCCTAAAACCGCCGTCACCACACCCTTCGGTCTCTTTGAGTTCATCCGCCTGCCGTTCGGTCTTCGTACTGTCGCCCAAACGTTCCAGAGGTTCATCGACCATGTCTTACGTGGCCTACCCTTTGTGTACGCCTACATTGATGACCTCTTGGTGGCCAGCCGGAATGAGAAAGAACACAAAGAGCATCTTGCCTTGATGTTTGACCGTCTTGACAAGTTTGGCGTTGTCACCAACCCCTCCAAGTGCGGTTGGGTGTGCCTTCACTCGAGTTCCTCGGCCGTCAGGTCGACTCTGAAGGTTTGCGTTCCCCTCCCCCAAAGGTTGAAGCAGTTCGTAATTTTCCTCCTCCAACTTCCAAGCGTCAGTTACAGCGATTCCTCGACATGGTCAGTTTTTACTGCCGGTTCCTACCGAACTGTGCTGACCTCATGCTGCCGCTCACCAACATGCTTTCTGGTCCCAAAGGCCCCCTCGAGCTGACTGGTGAAGCACTGACTGCTTTTGAGAGAATCAAGAATTCCCTTACCGATGCCATCTTACTCACGCATCCCGCTCCCGAAACTCAGCTCTCTCTGATGGCAGATGCGTCGGCCGTAGCCGTAGGTGCAGTCCTTCAACAAAACCTTGCTTGTTCGACTCAACCACTTGCTTTTTCTCCAAAAAGCTCTTACCAGCTGAGACACGCTACAGTATCTTTGGCCGTGAACTATTTGCCATTTACCTGGCTGTGAAGCATTTTCGGCATTTCCTCGACGGTCGTGACTTCACTGTTTTCACTGACCACAAACCGTTGACTTTTGCACTTCGGTCCCACTCCGACAAATACAATCCGAGAGAAATCGCCCACCTGGACTACATCTCCCAATTCACCACCGACATCCGCCACATTGATGGCACGAAGAATGAGGTGGCTGATATGCTGTCCAGACCCTCACTGTCTTCCCTCCAACTCTCACACGGGATCGATCTTTGTGCCATGACGGCTGAGCAACAGCGAGTCGGTTGTCCTGGTGACGAGTCTGTTAGTGGTCTCCAACTCAAAGACGTTCCTCTGACCACCGGCTCTGGTACCATACTTTGTGACGTCTCAACTCCCTTTCATCGCCCTTTTGTGCCCGCCTCGATGCGTCGAACTGCATTTCAAACTTTGCATGGACTCTCCCACCCTGGGATCCGAGCCTCTCAAAAGCTCCTCGCGGAAAGGTTTGTCTGGCCTGGCATGAACACGGACGTCAAAGCTTGGGCTCGGTCGTGTCTGAGCTGCCAGCGCAACAAGGTGCAGCGTCACAACAGGTCCCCACCAGGCACTTTCCCCGGTCCCGACGCACGGTTCAGCCATGTGCACCTGGATGTAGTAGGCCCCTTGCCTCCATCCAATGGTTTCACCCACCTCCTTACCTGTGCCGATCGATATACTCGTTGGGCTGAAGCTATTCCTTTGCCAAATGTTCAGGCTGAAACCGTCGTGAAGGCCTTCGTCAGTCGTTGGGTCGCAATGTTCGGTGCCCCATCTATGGTTACGACTGATCGTGGTGCCCAGTTTGAGTCGGCACTCTTCCAAACGCTACTCAATTTCCTTGGCTGCACACGCATTTGGACGACAGCCTACCACCCAGCTGCCAACAGTATGGCGGAACGTTTCCATCACCAGCTAAAGACCGCCCTGCGTGTCGTAGAAGACCCAGGAAACTGGTCGGACAACCTTCCTCTTGCACTTCTCGGCATCCGCGCAGCTCTGAAGTCGGATCTGGGCTGTAGCGCAGCTGAATTGGTTTTCGGCACTACCCTCCGACTGCCAGGCGAGATGATCACTCCAACCTCTTGTGGAGCCGACGAGACTCCTGACAATCTTGTGCACCGTTTGCGGCAATTTATGCGCTCGCTTTCCACCTCGAGCTCCAATGACAGAGTTTCATGTCGAAAAAGACTTGGACAAGTGTACTCCTGTGTTCGTCCGGTGTGACTGTGTGCGCCAGCCGCTGGAATCACCATATGAAGGACCGTTCCGCGTGCTCGCGCGTAACGCCAAGACCTGCCGGATTCTTCGCAGTGACAAGGAGGACGTGGTCAGTGTCGATCGGGTCAAGGCTGCTGTTGCGGAGGAGCCGCCGGACCCGTACAAAGGACAAAAATGTGCTGACCCCCTAACCCCTCTTCCTTCATCTTCCCTATCCCCTGCTCATTCACCCTGTCCACTACCTCCTCCTTCCCCTCCCTTGCCGTCTATCCCTCCGTCCCGTATACTTCCTTTGCCCCCATGTCCGCAACCCACAACCGCAACTACTCCTTCATCAACCAACAGCACTGTAAGCGCGAGCCATACTCACTCTAATCCTGTGCTCCCTGTATATATCACCCGTGGTGGACGCCATGTTCACTTTCCTGACCGTTTGGTTACTCATGTTTTTTAGACATCAACAGTTCCTTCGGCATCGCTACGCGCCGTCTTCGGTCTAGCCGGGGGGTACTGTGGCAGTTCGCGTCTCCTCGCCCCCCGTCTTTGTCACGCTGCCGTCTTGTCCGCCTCACACTCCTTGTCGATGCCCTGCTGGGACGCGCGAGTGCTCAAAGCCAATCAACGCTGTCTCCACTCTGATTGACTGACGACGTGGAGAAAACGAAGGGCGCACACACGTGCTGACAACACTTCGAAGGCGGACACAGACAACAGCTTGCTTGGAGCGCGCTCGCGGCGACTGCCTACAGAGCCCTTGTGTACGCACTTTCTCAGGCAGTAAAAGTTGTCCAAATCTAACCGTCTTCCCTGACTCTTGATTGGGAATCTTTATATTGTCGACCACACTACATTCGACACAATCGTCAGGTCAAATCCTGATTTGTACGTAGAAGACAGACGGCACCAGAATGAGGGGTTTATTGTATACAGAACCCGGGGTTGTCCTTACAGGCGGTAGTGGTCGCTGGCGAGGCCAGGGCTGGTGTTGATTGCGTCCAGTCATGCCTGAGAGTCTTCGGGACAGTGCTGGCAGTCGCTTTTGTAGGCTCGTGGGTCAAGCTCAAGTGGTCTCCAATCGGTGAGTGCCGCATTTGCCGAGGAGTGAAGTCCCAGTGGCTTAGGTTGTGGTTGATGGGGGGCGAGGTGCGTTCAAGTGGCCGCATGGGCAGCCGCGACTGTGCGACGCTGGTGTGCCTGAGCTGAAGTCGGTCGAGTAACTTCAGGCTAGTGCATCTGGAACGGCTCACTGCAAGGGGCGATTGATTTTGAAGCAGCGAGGCCTTTACCAATGACGCCAGGCTGGTCATGATGGCTGCCCGCAACAGATTCTTTAAAAGCAAGTTGACATTTCAGGCTGCCTGATTGGGCAGCGAATTTTTTACCATACAGTCAACACAAAACGCCCAGACAGGCGCGTCTTGCCGATCTTGTGCCAATGCATGACGAAAGTGCGACGCATTCAGCTCGTCAGTGAGTCTCCTGGCGTGAGCACATGCTTTCTTGTATAAAAACTCTAGTTTAACTGCCGCCCCTTTAGATTTCCGCAGAAATTAATTCGCAGACTCGGAGTAAATCCCTCGGAACGAGGGCTCTTTAGACTCTCTCCGAAAGTTAGCAATTGAAAGCTAGTACCTTTGGTTTCGGCGTGGTAAATGATTTAGTATTTGTAAACTACTGGCTGCCTGTTGGCAGTTTTCGAATATTACGCTGTTATTCGTCAGAAGGTGAGAAGTGGGCGGAGTGGGCATTGTCGCCCTGGCGGTCTGTGGGGAGACACGGCTATGGGGACGAGTTTGTTGTTGTTGCTTCTGCATTTGTTGTGTTTCCACCGCTTTTTGAGTCCCCTAACCACGGTTAGCCCGCCGAGGGTTACATTGCTAGGAATTTCTAGGTCACCTTTTCTAATCCCTTCCCCCGCAAGGGCGTGAGCGCTGTTACACCTAGATGGGGCTGCTCAGTCATTACAGGTGACTGCCGAATTCCTCCATGGATCAGGGCAACCTGTGTAAGGTTAGGGTCGGCTGCGAGATCGCATGTCGACCTCGCCGTAGGAGGGAGTATGGGAATTAATTCGGGGACTACCGAAGCTGAAATATTGCTCATCTCACCGAACAGTGACGACGAAACACAAGCGTTTTAGTTTCGCGTCCTCACACACCCAGGCTGCCGATTTTTCAAAGTTGGCTATGAATTTCACAGTAAAGGCGCCTAGTGCGTAGCTACTGCCCATTTTTCATTCATTGAAGTACAGACGATCCTTTTTAACCGTCCACGTCACTAAGAAAATGCGAAAACAACTGTTCATATCATCCGCTTTCCAGCGTGCTGCATTTTCAGTACCACTGCGTTCGGACGGAAAGGACGAGAGAAAAAAGGGTTTACGGAAATTGGCTGAAAGACTTTGAAGAGTCGGTTCATATAGACACAGGGGGTGAAGAAGGGTCTGTATTGTAGACTGTTCCTGTCGGTTATGTAACGGAGACGGCTGTTAATTGTGAGTTAGCATACGTTCTCAGGCCTTGCCTTCTTAATCCATAATAAGCCACCAGATCTAAATAGTCACCGTTGTGGTAGCTGATTTCAACGAAATTGCCAGTGCAACTACCTTAAATCTGCGAGACCCAACCTCACTTTCCACCCACACTCTCGGTAGATCGGCACCTCCATCTCTTCTCCCGTTGACGTCAGCGGTGACCCATCTCATGCAGGTAGTGACGCCACTCACCGACTTGTCAATCAGTGAGACGATGTCATCGCACCTTTGGTTCACATCGCTCAAGCACTCCAGTCAGGACTCATTGCAATGTGTTGAGTGAGGGGTCTACTGTGTGGGTTTTCGCTCGTAGCTCTGCTTTGGAATGGCAGTGTACCGCAACTGTACAGCACTCTCAGTATGGCCACTTTCGATTATATGGTCTTTAAGTCATCCCCACGGGGTCACAATTCACTTTTCCCGGTTGGTTCCTCAGAGTTAGGTTTTGGCGCGAATACTGCACCTGACTGCAAACGGAGTGGAGATCGGGGGTGTTCCTTTGTTAAAAATTAGTTTTTTACAATTCCGATATGCTCATTCTTCGACTTTCTGTTCGTTCGAGGAAGACTCTTTTGATGGCTCGGTATTTGTCCCAGTAATTTCCTTGCCCAGGCCATACCCAGGTTTCTGTGTAACTTTGACCGTTCAGGATCGAATTTCTTCAGGTACTGAGGCAAGGTAAAGGAGAAACACACATAACCGGGTATAAATACTTAATGTGAGCCTGTCGTTGACTGTCTGGGAACTGGGGCAGAGATAAGAGGGTAGCGATCACAGCGGATCACAACTCAATAATGAGAAGTTTGTTCTTCAGTTCCTCCTCCATGCGGCTCCTCCGCCAAATGCCGGATCCAGGCAGTCTAGCCCTTGCGTGAAATTCTGGTATCTGCATGTGAGAGTCAGGTCATGCGCGTGGCACGAGCAGACGGACTTTTCTCAGCTCGCCGCCCACCGCCTCTCCCAACCTCCGCGTTAGTGGGTCGACCGGCTCGGACGGTCGACTAGTGCGCGGGAAGGGGTAGACCGAGTGAGGTCGGCTCTTAGCATATGCTTCTCCACTAAACGCGTTTGAGACTATCACGGTGGCCAAAATCCATGAATTAGAGGGTTGCATGCTGACGATTCGACTCGGACCACGCAGTCAGTCCGATGTGTTTGTGTGTTGAGTGGCCGACTGATGGACTGAGAGTCAGACTGCAGTGGCCCATTCTTAAGGGCGGAAAGGACGCAACATATGACCAAAATTTTCCTATTACGTATTATTGCCTACTGATTCTTATCAGTTTGGGTACACTGGCTGCTTTTTTCAAGATAGCACTAAGTTTCACTGCATATCACATTTTGCCTATTCGTCACTTGGTTCACACGCTAATTTGGCATGCTTTACCTTTGCTGGCCACCTTGGCAGCTTCCCTGTTTTCCACTGGTCTGCGTCCTTATGTCGCGCCGTTGGGTCAGCTTTCCCACTTTACTCTTATGGGGTTCGCCAGCATAACTCGTCCTTGGGTTTCTATTGACTATTTCGTTGCCTTGATCTCTGAACTTGGCGTCTTATTGTGCAGGCGCTGTAAATAACGTCCTTTGGTTTTTTGGCGTTAAATTTCGCTAGTGTCCAACTTTCTTGGCCGCTTTCAAGGTCATGCGCGGATCTATTTGAACCTATTCACAGAATTAGGACATTCTTCCAAAACGCCATCCTTTATCACCGCTCTCTTTCCCATCCATTGACCCCACCCATATAGCCCCTGCTTCCACCGGTCCCGTAAGACACGATGACCTATCCTCCGTATTCTGGATGGGGTCGCATATTGCATCGTTGCCTTAGTGGCACTCTCATAAATGTAAGGACCAAGCAGTCTACTCCCATTGTCTGTACGCCTGGTGTGCGCGTTTGGGGCCAGATTCTGTGTGGCGCCTTCAGACTGGGTCTCTAGCCCTTTCAGCCACTGCGCCCACTCACTGCATTAGGGAATTAGCAGACGCGGACAATGGATTGGTGCCTGGTAGTGGGAAGAGAGAGAGAGATCAACGGGGTCATCGAATGTTCCTCATCATAAACAATCTGAAGGGTTTTAAAATACCATAGTGAGCTAAAAGTCGTACCTTAGAAGACTGCCGACTGACGGGATAACTTGCACCTCCTTGGAGGGCGGAAAGTCAGGCCGCAATGTCTCATTACGACTTCCACTCTTGCTGTGCAAAATCTTGGTCAGTTTTGCGTGACAAACCATGGGGGTGTGGTGGTGCGCCTAGGTGCGAGCCTTCGCAGTACCAGCCAGTTTCGCCCTCCCCTGCCCTCGGTCTCCTTGACAACGTCATGGCATCTGACGCAGGTGGTGGAGAAGGAGTGAGCGTCGTGAATACTGTGCAAGTCTACCATAATTATAAACGAATTCACACCCAATTCACCCTCCCTGCTGTCACCCTGTTTTTGGGCACACGGTGGACAAAGCCGGCGACGACGGTCAATCAA